CGTCAGACGGCATTCTGAGGTGCATAATCTCATTGACCCCCAATGCTTAGAAGAGACGCCAACCTCTTGGAAAGAGTTCAAAGACGGGCAACAAAAGGAGTGGTTGGTCTCTGAAATAATCCATATGATGAAAGGCTGAAGAAATTAGGCCTATTCTGCATCCGATCATCCTGGCACACCTCGGCACCAGGGATTCCTCAGGGTTCTATCTTAGGGCCGTTGATGTTTTTGATTTTTATCAACGACCTGCCCTTTCAACTGAACTGCTCTGCGCTTCTTTACGCTGACGATGTAAAGATTTGGAGAGCAATAGACTAATCGGAAGGCTCAGACAGACTGCAGGCTCACCTGCAAACTCTGGGAGACTGGGATCTGGCTAACGGAATACCAAGCAACCTAAAGAAGTACAAAGTAGTGCAACTTTATTCCGGCAGGTTACAAAGTGTAAATTACACTCTTGGTGGCCAGAATTTGAGTTGTGCGCCATCAGAGGGCGATCTAGGTCTTATTCTAACAAAAAAGCCAGACACCAGTGGAAGTAGCTTATAAATTCCCATCTGATGATCTAGGGTGTTTCCGGAATGTTTTGCAGAAAGAATTAGATAAAGTGACTGCTTGGTCGTCTTTGTGGAATCTACAGTTTAACCTGAACAAATTTGCTTGGATCTGCTTCGGTGCAACCTCAATTGACTTGAAATTAACGCTTCAATCTGCTAACCTAACCAGACTACGAAGTGTCGTTGACTTAGGTCTGAGGTACTCGAGTAACCTAACATTTTCGGAGCAAGTGGCATAAAAGACTCGAAAGTCGAGGATGCATAGGATGCATACTCAGGAACTTTCACGACAATGAAGCAAAGCTAATTCTGTATAAAGCACGTTTAAGACCACTACTAGAATACTGTCCATTTATTATTAGCAGCACACACACGTGACAAGCTAAGGATAGAAAGTATCCAACGATATTTTCCCTCAAAACTACTTGGCTACGAATGTAAGAAAGACTACATCTCACGGTGCATGATTCTACAACTTGACCCACTCTGGACAAGACTACTAATTATAAACCTAGTATTCTTCTATAAGGTCCTACACAAAATATCATTCTCAGACAGTAAGGACATACAATTCGCACAAGAAGGCTCTTACGATCTGCTTAACCAAACTTGCACAGTGACAATAAAAGCCTTTAAGTCAACACTCCGCGAAAACTTGTTCACAGTCATGTATTCTAAAATATGGAACAACCTGCCCCTAGAAGTCAGGAACTGCAATACGGTTATAAGTTTCAAACGCTCTCTGTACAGACTGTTTCGCTCTACTGATTATATAAATAAACTATTTATCCCTAGAACGAATCAATTATTAGTCTACTACAGTACCTAAACAAAGCGCCTAAATACCTTCACTACTATAAAAACTATAAGTAAACTAGTAGTATAGATGCGAAAAAGACTTAGTAGGAATAAATATTTGTTCATCAAATTACAGTGTACAACGAATATAAACATATATGTCCCACTCCACATACTTTTTCTCTGCCCTCTGGCACTTTTCTGCTCGCCTCTTCTGTTTTATTTGCCTTGTAGTAGAAGCTGCATTGATCTACATTCCGACTGAAGCTGAGAAACAATTTAAGTCACTTACTCATATATCATCCCTCAAGGCTTGGCTAGTAATGGCTCAGCATCCTTGATGAAATCCACTGTCACCATAACAAGACGCTGTACAGCATCTTATACAAGCAATGTCAATGACCTAAAATGGCTTACATATAGCTTACTACGTGTTAATCAACTTACTCGTACGGAGCAACCATGCAGTGACAAATGGCGGGCTCTGGGTGACCTGGGGGCAGTAAAACAAATCTGCGTGACAATAACCAATATTAATCTGCATTCAGTTGAATTCACATCTGGTATTACTTGCAATAAAAATGATGTCAAAATCATACAAATAAATCACTCATCTTAAATAATTACCCAATTTGAACATAAAACAAGAACAAGATACGATACCGCACACACCAAAGTTATATGGAGGAATTGACTTCAAACTTTACTTTTTTCCCAAATATTTTGTTAATGTGAAGACAATATTTCTATATTCCTTAATGTGCTCCATTGAACGACTAGCTATAAGATTGTACTCACTAACTAATATCAGAGAGGCAGTAACCACGTAATTTCACTATAAATCAAATTCATGTAATATAAATAATACTTATCCATGCCTGTACAACTGGTGTGCCCTACATAGATGGGAAATATATAAATATAAAGCCTACACAACTTTACACTTTATGCATAGGCAGCTGGGAGCTCTTACTCCCGAACTGTTCTTAAGGTTGTATAAGACAAACGTGAGGCCACACCTTGAGGTGCATAATATCACTGCTCCTCCGCTACTCAAAAGGGACGCTAGCATTCTAGAAAGTGTTCAGAGACGAGCGACAAAATGGGTGATCGGCCTCCGCAACAAATCATACGAGGGAAGACTGAAGAAATTAAGTCTTTTCGAACTTAGTTACCGTAGTCACAGGGGAGACCTCATCACCGTCTATAAGATCTTAAATGACCGGGCCCACCCAAATAAAAGCATCCTGACATTAAGTGATTATAAGCTTCCACGAGGTAACCCGCTAAGGATAACACACCGGAGACCGAAGACTCGAGTGCGTTCACATTTCTTCTCGCTTCGAGTTTGCCGTCTCTGGAACGCTTTACCTGCGGCCGTGACTGCAGCGCCATCTGTGGAGATTTTTAACCGGAAGCTGGACAATCATGCAGAAATGCATGGTTTGTGTCTCAATGGCTTATCCTCTGAAAATTGTAAACCACACTGTCAATGGATAAACCTACGAACTAAATCCCCACGACCCGTTCTGTCTTCTCTCTGTACCGACTACTCTATCTTTTCCTTAGGTCACCTTTATTATTTCACTTATCTCAACCTATATTATCTACACTACAAAAAATTTGAAGGCTCGAGATATTTCTGATTTTTATGAGGGCTTAAATCTTTATCTTGAAAAAGATAACAATGAACGCATTGGCAGATCATGCTTCTACCTTTAAATATATACCATTCACCCAGCCTATTGTTGAGATGCGACCATGTGGGATCTGCTCAGATTTATGGGGCATCTTATAAATTAACTTGCTGTCTATCGTCAGATCTTTTCATACCACTCCACAATGTCTTATCTCATTTATTTTCTGACAACGTCTTTACTTGGTCCTCATTTTACTCCATTAAACTTAACATCTTATAGCTCTTCATTACTTATTATACTCCTACTCTCTAAAGGGTACGGTTGTGCACTAAATGCACAAAAAGGTATAAAATAAAAACAACTGGCATGAGGATAATTGTATTAAAACCAAAAGTGGATATCATGATAGTTTGTGATATATCTGTAGCGTTATACATTGCAAATGAATGTTGTTACCCTAGGGTGTTTCCTTTATTAATGCATTTATTAATGATACTTGCACTTACCTATTCATTACAATTTAATGATTCACCTCAGCACTTTAATTTTTCTAAAACAGATTCCAATCCCTTGTAAAAGGTGTACTTACCTCAATATTGGTTGGTTATCGTATGCCTACAACCACGGGATGAAAACGGAACGAAGTCGATTTTCCCGCTCAACCTGGAGGACAACTGTACAATTCAATAACTATACGGCCTAATTCGGAAAATGAGTGTATTATATGTATCGAATATTTAACAGTTGAAATACGATTAACTTGTAGTCAATCTACGATTTGATATTATATCATACTTGATCGTGCTTGTAAAAATGGCATGCATTTTCATGTAAATTTGTAAATTTATATGAAATACATTATTATTATTGTTATTATATTCTGCTTTTATGACTACAACCGAATGACCAGCGGGAGTTAGGTCAAACTCCATTCACGGCAGCAACACAGTCCTAACATACTGCATACTACAAACAACATTTTGACCATTCCCCGTACCACTCCTCTTGCAGTCTACCAGAGCTAAAGCAGTCTAGTGGCGGGAATTACTACGCATAAGTTCACATAAGATCTGGAACCTCCACCTTACAATCAAGAGGCGAGCTCAAAGAAATCACTGGTTTATACTAGCTTGTAATCAGGATATTGGATATTGGATTCACACTTGGCTACCATTGGCCAAGGGGGTATTTGATTACTGCCTACAAAATAACAAATTACCAGAATCACCCAAACAAAAATGTTCTACGATTGAGTAGGTAAAGACTTCCTCGTGGAAATCCCAGAAGGATAGCTCACCAGAGGGCAGATACCCGGGTGCGCTCCCACTTCTTTTCACTGAGGGTCTGCCTTCCCTGGAATTCCTTACTGGCATATGCAGCCATGGCGCCGTCTGTGGACGCCTTTAAGCGAAGGCTGGACACTCATGCAGCGACACAAGGACTGCGTCCAAATAGCCTATCCCCTTCAATTCCCGTACACCATTCAGGATTAGACAACTAAATTCTTCGTTTTACTTCTTTACATTCTCTCCCGTCTTCCTCTCCTGACAACTATAACTACACTTATTATTATTATCATTATTACCGATGTATATATGTATATTTATGCTATTCATGTTATTCTTCAAATTTAATTAGCTGACTGTTGTTACGTTATCTTTATTTCTTTTTCTGTCTGTTAGTCTGAAGAACTTCACTAATTATATCTATAATTATTATTATCTCTTTTTTTAATGACGGTACCGGACGATTAACTGGTGAAATGATCAACTCCATTCACAGTAGTTACAGTCTTAACACACCGGATACTACAAATCACACATAATTAATCCCAGTACTACTCTTTTTGGAGTCAACCAGAGCTACGACAGTCAGATGGCGGGAAGAGCTACGCAGAAGTTTACCGAGGATCAGGAACCTGTACCTCACAACCAAGAAGTGAGCACAAAGAAGTCAAATTGATTTATACTAGCTCGTAAAAACGAAATTGGATATTGAATGTCTAGGCCATTCATGGAGGTGATACGAAGTGACTTCGTTACACGGGTGTACCCAAGCTGAGTTATTGCAGACTATAGTGAGTTAACGCCAAATACTGCTGATTTTGAAGAAAATATAATGCAAACATAAAGTCGTTTTGCTGAATCGTGAATGCTCATTATACTATGTTGAGCATCTTGTTTCGCCTAACTTTTTCTGCCTAAAGTTTTTTTTGCTGACAAGTATGTTTTTTATTTCATAGGTGTCAAGTACAAAAATGAGCTTCAATAATGGATTGTCTGAAAATATTTCTCAACTAATTTCTCCGACAATTACTGAAGATGAGTTGGAATTTCTCAAACAACTTCCGAGAGAACCTTTGTTAAGTAAGCCATCTGCTAAAGATGGTGCTACTCTCAATTTACTAAAGCATGCTGAGTCTGAAGTTTTTCGGCTATTCCGCAAGCAAGAATATTTTAGGAAAGCATACAACGATACACTTGATCGTATGAATAGTTTAGCTAATATTCTACCGTCCTATGCTCTCGATAATATAAACACTCCGTTGCATCCTAAAGATAAGACCAATGATGAAGAAGATGAAAGTGATATTTCGCTTGATCCGGAATATGTTAATTTTATGATGAAAACTCTACATCATCGTCAAACTCGTGATAATGTTGCAGTGAATTCACAGGCTTTGGAGAAAATGTTGAAACCACCTCCTAAAACCGATAAAACTGACGACATGGAGTCGATTGCCGCTCAAATTCAAATGTGTGAAACTTCTTTATTACACTATGTGAAATTTTTATCGCCTTGTGTTGATTCACCGATATGGCCTGTTTTACCTTTAAGCTCAAATTTGTAAATCTGAGTTGATTTCCTCTATGTAAATTCGTATCATATTCCAGAAACTGTCAGATTATCTACTTCATACTTTTTCTATTGATACATATATGGATCGCTTGTTAAAATCTCTGTTCTCTTTGTTGAGTGTTCAACAACGCTAATCACTTGGTAGTGACCAATGTCAAACGTCTGGTCCTTAGATTGGCTAAGACAAAATTCTATCAGTCGAGTTTACAATGTGGTCACCATGCTAAGTAACTCGTCATCTCGGTGCACACTGAAATGATGTTAGATACTTGGAGATAATCAACATGAAGCCTTGGATCTAGAATTCGTATCTGTTGGTACTCACTAGGCAGGCGGGTTTTGATTCATCATTGTCTTCACTCCTTAAATGTCTTTTCATAGAGGCTTTCGGGTAATTATTCGACTCAAAAGTAAGCCGAACCAATTTTAGTCCCCTGTTGGTCTCTTCTTTGGTAACTAGACGTTTGCTTTTGTTTAATGTCTGTTCATGACTCATGGTTGGACAAGGTATTCAAAAGACAAGATGTATTTTTATATATTCACATACATATTTATATACCTTTTCCATTTTAATTTTGATTAATTCCCCTTCAAAGTTTACCCAACGAAACGTTGGAATTACTTATTTCAATTTCTGTGAGTACATTTCTAACCTGTCATTTGGATTTTTTGTTTGCGATCATTGTGCTCAGAAGTTTGGAACCTGAGGTGTAGGAGGGTCGTTTATAGCTATCTTAAGTTACAGTGTGAATGTAATAATATTTCACAGTTATAAACAAACAAAAATATAAGAATAAGTAGAAAATTAGTAATAGAAAATAATGGATGAATCAGGTTAAAGGTATGACAGGAAGTAATATTCCGGCTTGCCAATTGTAAGTTATTGGTCATAATGTTATTATGCTGTGGTGAGAGATGGTTGCTAGCCAAATTGGCTGACAGTAATTGAGATGAATGTTAGTCATGTGAAAACAAGGTCAAGATGGACAGGCGGATACAGTTAACATATGAACTGACACAGCCACAAGAGATGCAAGGTTAACTTTGTGTGAGAAACAACCAATCAACAGACTGTATTTTCTACTAACATTAACCTACAATAATGTACATCAAAATCTATAAATTTGTGTTGATTTTCCGTAATAAACGTTCTGTTACCTGGCCATTGTCTTCTATTGTTACAATGCTACACTGTACCAACCTGAACTTAATATGTCCAATTACCCACTTAATCAGTACACTACCTGATCAGTGAGTAGTGAAAACAAATAAAAAGTATTCAGGTATTTATGAGTGTACTTTGGTGATTAATACATATAAATAGAATAAAATATTTACACTATTCAAGGAGAGTATTTTTGAACTTGTCTGGCTAGCATGGATAAAGTACGGATTCTGAGGGTATGCGTGTTACCAGAACAAAAGAAGGCGAAATGTCTTCCGAACTTGGTCGAATTCACACCCGGTGAAATGAATCTTGGAACACCTAAAGTATCCGCCGGCAGTCTAGCTGTTTATCTAGTTATTATTAAGTTGACTTAGTTTGACCAATTTATTTTAGTGTTGTAGAAGGTACACTAAAAGGTCTTCTCAGCCTTAGAAGGTTGATCAACAACCCTCAGCCTTAGGAGGCCTCTGCGATAGGGACATACGACATCTTTCCATAATGAGGATGGCTTAGATGATGTGACGGTTGAGGTTATTTTTAAGTGCTTTTTTCAGTATGGTGTACGTTAACCGTTGCAAGGTAGTCCGTTTGCTTACGTGATAAGAATGATATTACAGAAGAAATTTCAAACCTATAAGTTTGAGGTAGATATAAGAAAATAGGTGTCTATTGACTGAAGGTGATCATTTCCACTAAGAAAGGTAGATTATGAAACTGGTGGGGTAGTTGCAGACAATTTTCCAAGAAATAATTATGCTATATCCACTAAGTGAGGGGAAGAAAGGAAAGAAACTTAGTAAAGCAGGAGAAGGATATGCCATATATGGGATAGAATGTTACAGGGTGAAGACTGCATTATGAAGACCTCATCATATGAAATGATGGCCAATTTACCAGCTATAGTTACTCGAGTAACCCACGTAGTTTACAGCGCGTGTATCGGGATTTATCTAGCTGATCCAATTTTAGGCTGAACAATCTTTGTTTTCAAATCATGGAAAATACCCATTGGAACATTAGATTGAGGAGAATAAGAAGTTCAGCAAAGATATCTTTTCGGCGATTTCATTTTCAAAAGCTGTACAATCGCATTTAAATACATAATTTCACATGGAGACAATTCTTGTTTAATTCTACATAATTATGACAGCGAATAAAAGGTGATAATTATTTCAAACTAGATATGGTTTTACGAGAGGCTTAGGAACAAAATTACGCAGGATCAGAACGCATATCAAGTGTGTAAAAATGAGCATGGATACAAAATTGAAATAATAATTTTCAACTTGAGCTGGGAATCAGGAGGTGCGAATATAGATTACAAGAGCCTTAGAAATTATACAGGGTTACAACGAATTACAGGTGTATAGAAGATGAGCATGGAAAAAAAATTGAAATAATAATTTCCAACTTGAGATGGGAAAATTATTATTTCAATTATTATTATTATTTCAATTTTGTTTCCATGCTCATCTTCTATACACCTGTAATTCGTTGTAACCCTGTATAATTTCTAAGGCTCTTGTAATCTATATTCGCACCTCCTGATTCCCAGCTCAAGTTGAAAATTATTATTTCAATTTTGTATCCATGCTCATTTTTACACACTTGATATGCGTTCTGATCCTGCGTAATTTTGTTCCTAAGCCTCTCGTAAAACCATATCTAGTTTGAAATAATTATCACCTTTTATTCGCTGTCATAATTATGTAGAATTAAACAAGAATTGTCTCCATGTGAAATTATGTATTTAAATGCGATTGTACAGCTTTTGAAAATGAAATCGCCGAAAAGATATCTTTGCTGAACTTCTTATTCTCCTCAATCTTTGTTTTACCGTCCAGCTGATAGTTGAAATCTTTTAAGTAGGTTAAAAATAGTAGGTTAATGTACTTGTCCAGACTCTGCCTGAATTTATTCTATGGATGAGTTGCTCTCACAGTGTCATCTAATAACTGTGAAGTGAAGAAGTAAGCTGCACTTCACTTGTTTTGACCTTAGGGATTCAAATTTCAGTCGAATATATTGGTGAACATATTCAAACCCTGTTATGCGTTTTGTAAGGAGTCTTTGGACACTTTCAACTTTTTTCTTCGGTTCGGTTAACTTAGATTATTATAAGGAAGAGGTTACTATATAAGTGGGATAGTGTTCATGTTTAGGGCTAATGCATGTCTTGTATGTACCTGGTGATTCGTGAAAGTTGCACAGAACGAAGCCTGTAAATTTCTTAAATTCAGATAATAGCTTTTCTTCTTGGTCAGAAAAGGTTGGATCTGATTATATTAACGCAAGATCTGTGTTTAGGTTTGAAAGGATGTTACCATAGGTATATATGCCAATTCTTCCAACGTTCATAGTAGACTATAATGTACTAGTTAGCACTTTTCGCTTCAATCTTCTAGACTGTTGATTCGTGTTGTACTTTACTTTCAACACTCAGTCATTATAGTGGAAATCACATCTTATTTCGAAGTCGTCCGTGAAGAGGTAAGGCTTTCCATTCTTATCCATGAATTGTTAGTATTAATTTGCCTGGAAATCCAAATATCTTTCTCATAAAAGCACTAAACGTTTCTGGGCATTTTGCGATATGAATTTTATGTCAATGGTTAGTTATTTGAGTAAATAAATGTCTTTTTCACGTAATGCAAACAGGTGATAAAGGAAATTACCTAAAAAGACACAACTCAATTGAGTGGTATTCAAGAGAAGTGATGAGAAATGTTGGTTGATTTTTTCAGTAACTGAATCCTAGAGTCCTCAGAAATTGTGTTTTTCTCAGTAGTCAGTCCACTATATGAATGTTAAAATGCACTTTTTTCGTAGGCAATTCAATGTCATAGATCGTGATTCAGGTGATTTCCAAAGGTCGTGACAAACCGTTTGAATTTCAATCAATTTATCTTCAAATCAGGCATTTATGACGAAGAATTAGATAGTCATTTGTGTATTTTATGTGTTGTCTTTTCATTTTCAGATGTTGTTATCATTAAGCTTATCGGGATTTATTTCTTTGAGAAATTTAAATCAAGTAGGGACAAGTATTATTTCAGCAAAGCTACAGAATAGCAGCCGCCAAATCACCCTTAGCAACTACAGATCCAAAAGAATGATTCTAGAGAGTCTTAAGTTTGTTAACAAATCGTAAGTTAAAGTTTATATACTGTTTAGCAGTATAATTCTCCAATGGTGTTTTTAAGGGATGACCGTCGAAATGACCCTGAACTTGGACAAGCTAATCAAGAGGATGTAAGCGAATTCGGGTAAAAAATGCCATCATTTAGGAGATACCGTTAAATAATTAATGTGTAAAACACCAAACAGGATATTTTTACCCTTATGTGACCTAAAGATAACTCTGTGTGCTTTAATTGGACCAGCCTCTGTACCTGTACTTACTTCAATTACTATGCATACCATCTCTTTGTGATCCCTTGTTGGCTATTATGAATATTATTATTACTATTATTATTGTTTTCTTAGCTTCTTCTCTTCTTCTTCTTCAACAGCACATCTACATTTTGTCCTGTTTTCTGAATTCCTCCTTAGCTGGCCCCACAACTGACCATAGTCTTTCATCTCCTCCTCTGTCAGTCTGTCTGTTTTCAGCATGGAACTTTGCACCGATGTGCAGCAGTTCAAGTCGCCACACTCCATGTAGCACACAAACCAAGAGAAGTAAGCGAAACAGAATACTATATAGGACAGTAGACAGAAATATGAAACAAAACGAATAGTAATATCCAAGGTTAATATAGTTTTATTGGATATTATAAGTCATAAGGAGTGGATGCATCTGCGCCATCACTGAGAACAATTTTGAGCCATATCACTGATTGTCTCCAGTCTTCATTGGTGATATCGTCTCGAGGACCCCAACCAGTCAGGAAGTCTACACCTTCCTACCTGGCTTTAACTAACTGTTTTGGATTTCATTGACCGGTGAAACCATGTTTTCGTTTGGCCAGCACTGGCTCTTTTCTAACCTGATCCTTTGTCAGCTGACATTTCCCGTCGAGGAAGGCGATGGCTAGATGTGCATATGTAACACGTGTCCTAACCATCTCAGTCGATGTAGCTTCGCAGCCTCGTCGATTGATTTCCCCTCCTCGCCCATCCAGCACTCGATGCCTAACCTCAGTATTGCTTACCCTGTTATACCACTTCACTCGGGAGATAGAACACAGGCACCTATGATGAAAGACAGCTAGCTAGGCTTTTCATGTCTTGGACTCTCAATGGCCAGGTCTCACAGCCATAAGGGAAAAC